TCTGCGGCTGCAGATTTTGTAATGGCAATTAGCAGACACCGGAGAAGAACTACTGTAAATAACTGTAGTAATAAGTCTTTCCATGCTGTAGTTTTATACTATATCTAGAAGTTTGTTAGTTCTATGATTCACTTGTTTAAAAAGTCTGTTGTAGCTTTCTAAGTCTGTGAACATTTTCTGGTTTTTGAAAGGAAATTTTTAACTCTTACAGAGTAAAATTAGCTTGTTCAATGAACATAGCTTACATAGTGGTCGAAATCTATTTGGTCGGATGCTGTTAATAGACACTTTATTCTAAGTACTGCATATACCAAATGAAATTATCCGAAAGTCAAGGAACACAATATTCTATTATTGTTATGAGTTTTTGTGTTGGGGAGTGATCTAGCTGAACCAGAGACAAGAAAATAATATAAGAAAGCAATTTTTTTGCTGAAGGAACAGTGACTTTTTTTTTTTGTCTTCCCCTTTCCTTGGTCATCTACATTTGGCAGAAAGTTGGAGTGGGAGGCTGGCTCAGAGCCTGCACCCAGTCCCTCCCCTTGCGTAGCCCATGGGCAAGGCACGAAATGTCCCCACAAGCACACCGACACGACACCACCGTACAAAAATCCCTCCTTCAATGAAGTGAAAAAGCAACCGCGGTCCCCACAGGGTGGGTGACGTGACAGGGACACCTCGGTGGAAGGCAGCTGCATCCCTCTTGCTGGGAAAGCCCTCGTCCTGCAGAGACGAAGCCAGCGCTGCCGGGCTCACCGGTAGTAGATGCTGAAGGCGTGGAGGATGTACAGGAAGGTCGTGATGAAGGCGAAGAACTGCACGAGAAGAAGAGCAGCAAAAGCTGGGGTCAGCTGGGAGAGTCTTAACCCCATCTCCTCTCAGTGCTCTCAGCCTGGGGAAACGTCCCAGCCTCAAAGAAGAGGCAGAGCCCCCCACATTTCCCAGGAGGCAGCCACGCCAGGCTGTCCATGAGCTGCTGGACCCTGAGAAGCCCACCCTGGCTGCAGGACCCAACAGAGATGAGGAGCTGAAGCTCTGACAAGTGTGACACTGCTGGGCTTGGGATGGCTGTGCTGTGGCTTTAACATTTGCTTTTGCATCTCCCGAAGGGGAATTGCAGGTGCTCCGGCCTGCCTGGGGTTTTCTGGACTGACTCACCGATGCGGCGCTGTTGAGCTGGTAGTAAAGCGGCATCCTGGGGCGAAACTCAGAGGTGATGGTCGCGTTGGCTTGCAAGACAGCAGCGCTCATGTACAGAATGGCCGTGGCGCCGTGGTACAAACTGTCCTGCAAAACAAGGGAGCGGCGAGGATCAAAGCCTGCCCGGGACTGTCCTTCTCTGATGTGCCCTGAGGACGAGGTCCATCCTCTGCACGTGCAAGTGCTCCAACAGGACACACACAGCCAGACAGGAGCTGGGACCAAACCCTCGTACCGTGCCGAAGCCTCCCCTGTGCCCACGCAACACCCACGGCATAGCCCAGCTTCCCTCAGCATTTCCAGTCAAGGCAAAAGGAGGAAAAAGGGGCTGGTTGGTTGCCGAAGGGCCGGCAGCTGGCTGGCTAACCCGTCGTCAGCCACGGTCGTCTTGCGCCCACACTGCTGCCGCCAACATCTGCCGCTGTCCTAGCCCCTCCTTACCAGCACTCTCCAGTTCTCGCTGTTTTTGTGAAAGCCGAAGAGGTAGCTTAAGAGGAGCAGCAGGGAGATGAGCCAGGAGCTGAGGGACACGTACATCACCCATCCCTGCAGCAGCGGCAAGGAGACGGAGGTAGCAGCGACGAGGATCCACACCCAGGTCCCGCAGAGCTGCCGGGGACAAACATAGGCGCCTCCAATGAGCGTGGGATGGAGAAAGCCCCTTCTCCTCCCTGAGTCCCCCCTCGCCTCCCTCCCGGGCCGGCCCCAGCAGCCGTGGGAAGCCCTGCATCTTCAGGCAGCGCGGACGAGCATCCCGGCACAACAGCGGCACCGCAGCCTGGCACGAGTCTCCCTGAACACTCTTGGGAAATACTTCAAAAAGTTTCTTACAAAAGGTTTGCTTCAGTGTTTGACGCAAGGAACACAAGGAAACATCCCACCCCAAGGGCTTTGGCAGAGAAGCCAGAAAATATGCTTTTATCTGGGAAAGGCGGATGGCCACATCGGCCCAGCCCTGCCTGCTCGTTAAATCTCCTGGGCTTGAAATGACGGCAGGAGGAAGTCTCCTCCTGACTCCACGCACCAGCCCAGAGTGAGTCGCTCGCTCTGGATCCACCTAAATATTTACCGTGCACAAATAGCACGCAGGGTTAGCTGGATAGGCTCACGCTGCCCTGTGCCGCTCCAGCTCCGGCGGATGAAACTCCCCCAGATTTGCAGCGGGGAGCTGAGCCCGTCGGCACGGGCAGCTCGCGGCAAAGCCCAGCCGCAGCGATTGCGCCCGTGGAGCGTGGGTGGTGTGCGTCGCCAGCGCTGTCTCGTGTCAAAGTACAGCAGCCGTTATCTCGGCCAGTCCCACCGGATGCCCTCTGGACCCAGAAGCAATTGAAAGATTCATGGAATGTCACAGGTTACAAGATACCCAACTGCCTTCAAGCCCTTGGAAAGACTTAATACAGAGAATAAAATTCCCTTGATTTTTCAAGCAATTTCTCTGCGATTACTAAAGCTGCTTCTGCCCCGGAGGCGCCGGCAGCTCTTCAGCCTCTCCCAGCCCCACCGGCTCTCCAGCCTCTCCCAGCCCCACGGCAGCCGGCGACCCTTGCACAGGCTCTGGGATGGAGCTGGAGCGTATCTTGTCCTCAAGCTGTTCCAAAAAAACACATCACGAAGACCACCTTTGTGCATTCAGTATAAGCTAAAAGAAAAGACGCTATTTCCCACTAACACTGTCTTCAGGATCGTTTGGGGGGCTGCTCCCTGATTAACGCAGCAAAGCTCGGCATACTCACTATCTCCGGTAGGATGAACGCGTAGGGGATGGTTTTGAAGACGGCGGGTCCGGAGGGCACGGTGGGCTGCGTGGAGGCCCCAGGGGGACACGCCGAGTCCATCTCAGCTGACGCCACCACCGCTCGGGCTCGGCTCCGCTTACACTTGCCTGCGCCGCACCGCTCCCCTGCGGGGTTTTAAGAGACACACCCGCAGGGACGTAATCACAGAAACCAGCCCAGGCTGGCACCACGCTGCTTCCTCCAGCTGAAGGAGCCCTGAGCAGCCCTCTGGTTATTGCGGCTGGCTCCACACGCCCCGCTGCCAACACTGGGACGGGAGAGCAGCGGGACCCCGGCCCCGCCACACAATCAATTCAAGGTCTCGAACGAGAGGGGAAAGAAGAAAAAATCCTACACCGCGCTGGGGCAGGAACATTTCCTGCAATGGACTTTTGTCCTTGGCACGCTTTCAAGCCTGAAATATTTTCACTTCCACTGTTGCCTCCTCCCCTTTCTGCTCCCTGGTCACATCAGACTCGCCTACACCCACCGGGCACATCCAGCCTTTGAAAACTGGCAGCCAAACATTTTTTTTTTACAGACAACTCAACACACTGGTAAAAGACAGGAGGGTTTGCCCGCCTGCTCCTACGTGCCCAGACAGGTCTGAAGGACAGCTCCCAGGACAGCTTAGATTTCTACCTCCTGGCAGATGCGCTTTGGATTTGACAAGCACATGCTGTTTTTTTCCAGAGGACTCTGCCTCACGCCATAACTCAGCAATAACTGGTGGGATGAAAGGCTGAAGGTGGCATCTCTGCCTCGTGGCCTAGTGAAGTCATTCTGTCCCCTCTAACTCGGGCACTACTCTGCAGCAGGAGGAGGACGATATCCTAGTAAAATATCTCTCTGTTAGGAGAGCCAAGTGATGCCTGAGGAATTTGGCTTCTATGCCAAGCTCTTGCGCAATACAGAGCAAAGATGAAATCCGTGACGTTTCTTATTGTCCGAGCCCCTCCTAGGCCAGGGGGGAAGTGCTTTGTGGCATTTCTGGAGGCTCCAGTTTACAAATGCTGTCGGCGGGAGCTGGCTTTCGGCTCCATGCAGTGTGCTGTGGTCTTTGGAAGATCTTGCTTTAAAACGTTTCACACCAGACAAAACTACGGCCTGGCTCGGACTTAAATCCCCATGTGACTCGGTGCCCGCCTGCCTCGTCGGACACGGTGGTAACGTACCCATCGCTAGGCAGAAAGCACCCGGAGACTCCAGCACAAAAGAGGAAGCGGATTAATAACTTCCCACTGGGAGCGGGCAGCACATACGGCCCGTGGTTACAAACCGCTCAGGGAAAAGAAGCCTTCAAGGTCCTGCTCCACCTGGGGAATACCCGCAGCTCGTTAGCCTGCCCTCGAAAGTCAGCACAGAAGGAGCCACCGTACGGCACGGCCGGGCGCAGCGGAAACGCAGCGTGCCCTGAATTTTTGCCAGCTTTTCTTTGTATTAGGTGGGTCAAACAGATTCCTGTGAATAACCCAACCTTTTCCTGAGTGGGAAGGAAAAACAGTAAAACAGTCTAAATGCAGAGCAAGCTGCTATCCGCTGATTGGACAACAGATGATTTTTTTTTTTTTTTCCTAACCTGCCTGACCTTGCTTAGCAGCATTCTTGAAGATCATTGCTATTTTCCTTGCCTGTTACCAGTCTGCTGGGGTACTGCGACAAAGAGTCCTTTGTTCACCCTGATTGAAACAAATCTGGAAATTAATTGGAAGTTGCACGAGAGGAGAAAAGCGCTGCCTCAGCATTTGCTCAGCTTAGGCAAAATGCGACACTTGACATGGCTACGACAGGCAGACGTAGCAACAGCCAACCACAGCCTTGTCCAACACTGCAAAGTCAAAAATTTAAAATATAATTTCCATTAGTTACACTGATAAAATAATTTTAGTCTCTCTCAAAACGTTACTGCAAAACATGTTAAAATATTCATTACAATTCAGATAGTACACAGTTTCTCTTTGGTAAGAATTTATTTATATCATTCCCCCATTGTTACATAGCCTGGATTGCTCTTCTATAATCCATTCATACTCCAGGATTGTTTTTCCTCGCTTCTCCTAAGAAATCGTAAGCCAGCTCTGAGATATCAAAGGGTTTGTGAGTGTTTTCTGACGACAGCAGATACTGAAGTGCACCATCATTCTCTCGGCTCTTTTTCAAAAAGTCAGCAATCGCCTTCCAGCGAGATGCTTCGGACTCTTCCTCAGCCCACTTGTAGTCAGGGAGGAAAGTGGACTGGAGGAGAGGGAAGACAGAGTCGTGGTACACCAGCACGAACACAGACTTCAGAAATTCTCGATCTCTCTGCAGAGAAGAATATTTGAGAATAACTTCAGTGCAAATAGACGGTGTTGCCGAGCACTTCTACAGAAGTATTGTGCACGGGGAAAAAAACAGACAAGAAAACATGCAACTAACCCCCAGTTCCCAGGACAACAACGGGAAGAGATTTGACCTTCCTAAACAGACATCAGTTATCTCGGATGAGCCTCAAACTCACCACCAAGAGCTACGCTATATAAACTACAGATCAACAGACCTGCTCTCCAAACCACCTACTTTTCCAGATGACAAAGAGCAGCCATGTGCAGCCAAACCCTGCTAGTGTTACCACAAAACAGCAATCTGCGCAACGGTCGCCGAGAGCCCTTTGCTCATGGGGTATTTATATTTCTTCCTACAAACACCCGTGTGTGGCAGCTGTTCCCCGCAGCCTCTGCAGGTACAGACTGGGACTGCCGTGGCCACCGGGGAAGTGCCGCATCCTCCCCGCCTTGGAAGCCCAAACTCCACTCCTTTCTGTACTGCTTTAGGTGGAGAGTTGCAACAATCCCACGCCCCTCGCAGCACGTGGCTCTGAGCAGGAGGCAAGGCCACGCCGTAAGTACTGTTACTTCACACTTTGACGGGACGTTGTCTGTGTGGTGAGAATGATGCCCTCTCCTGTAGAGCCCACTTTGCAAACCCCAGAGATGAAGAATCATCCTGGTCAATTATCAAACACTGAAAGATGCTGACCACTTTAACTCGATGAGATTTGTGTGCCTTGTTTTCCACATGCACACTAGAAAACCCCCTGCGTGCAAGAAGGACACAGAGAGCGCTGCCTCCTGGAAAACTCATTGACCACCGAGACTCTTCCAGAAGCGTTCCAGAAACGTGAGCGCTGCGACTGGCATTGAGCAGTTCACGGCTCGGCAGGCGATTAGCAGCTGAGTGTCATATAACCGTGCAAGAAGGAGTAAGAATTCGCCAGGCAGCAATCCTACCATGGGAGTGGCACATGACAAATCAGGTAAAACTGGATGGTTCTGGGATACCGAGGAGTTACTAATTCTTTGAGCAGATCAGCTTTCATTTTGGATGAATGGCCTTGAAAAAGCGATTCTGACTCGAGAGCATTTTGTTTTGTTTGCGTAAATGGGGAGATCTCCTTGTGTATCTATTCAGTAGCACACACAATGAATGAAATATCCTGCTGCTGCTTCAAGTGAGGTGTCTTGGATCAAGAGCCACTGCCTTTCGCATTCAGTTACCTACAGCTTCTCTTTGTCCAGAGGAGAGGAGGTAGGACAAGGTACGGGTAAGCCTGGTGACATGGCCAATTCAATTCTTCTCCAGCTGTCTGCACGCCAGAATGGGAGACTACAACTGTCTGACATAGGGAGATTTGCAGAATTTGGGGGCCTTTTTCCAGGCAGACTGTGGGAAGACTGGAGCTCAGAGGTTGGAGGAAGAAAGATTATTCTGTGGACATACACAGCCCCTTTTGGACCAGTGGAAAGCTTTTACCAGTCAAGTATTGGAAGCACATCACGAAAGGGAGCCACGCTTTGGGTATGAACCGATGATAGCTTCCCACTAACAACCATACACACACACACTGAGACAAAAAGTTACAAGTTAATTCCATACTCCTCCTAGTTTACTGTTATAAATATGGCTAAGAAATGTTAAGAGCTGCATTTAGCATATCTACATTTTCTAAATAAATGTAAGGTGAGAGGAAAAGTTAACTACCAGTAACACCGACAGAAAGCTTCTAGTTCAAATTAGATTTAATGTATGTCAAAGAAAAACCTGTCATTTATTACCTTCTCAGATCTCTTCAACGTTCTTTCTCTATCTGCCCAAGCGCTCTAAAATGAAATGTAAAATCAGCCTGTGGAGATCTAAAGCAATTGCATTTTTAGCTGCAAAAATCTCTCTCTCTGCAGTCCCACAGTAGTTTAAGCTCCTGTTGCAGTCCCACTTTCCTCGCGCTCCCCATTCCTCTCTTGTGCCAGTTTAGTTGATTCAAGCAAACAGCCGCTCCACCAAATTTTACAGATGCGAGGGTTTGGAGATTTGAAACTTTCGGAGCCATATAAATGAAATCAAGGGGATCCACTTTTCAGAAAAATCAATCACAACCGAGGCTGTTTTTTTTCCACTCTAGAAACATGCAGAAATACAGCCTAAGCCCAGAGGCTGACAGCTTGTAACAGTGGTGTCCTTCGGGCAGAAACAGCTCAGCTGCTGTTGGCTGGTACTAGGACGCCTGCGAGGGACTGCAGCGTCAATGCGGTGAGCCCCCTCCCGTCACTGCCAGCCAGAAGCTCCTACCCGTCACAAAGCAGCACTGTCCTAGAAGCCAGACAAACATTCAGGCAGCTAATCCACCTGAGCACTCTCTTGCTGCGGCTACGTGGCTAGCAGTGCTCAAACTAGCCCACTTATGTCTTTGCATCCCTTCTGAACGTATCCAAGTGTTCTCTTGCAATTTTGAAGGCACTAAGACACAAGAGATCTCTATGTACTTGCAACGGTTATAACTTTTCGGCTGTTTTGCTTTTCCATTTATCTTTTCACAGGATAAAAAAAGCTGACATTTTGCAAACTATCTGGAAATCCTGACACATCAGCTGTAATTGAACGCTACGTAGATAACGTACCCGAAGTGCATCCATCAGGTCTGGTTGATCCATGAGTTGAGGGAAAGTTGCTAAAATAGGATTACAGATCAATTCTGAAACAGAAAACACACACGTGCAAGGCTACGGAAGAAACGGGATGGTTTTCAAGGTATCAACATATCAAGGCATTAACATATCCCCTCCCCTCAGAATATTTCAAAGGGGAAATTAGCTGTAATAGTGCTGCAGAGCAGCAGGGAAAGTAGAAAAGCTAACAACTGCATTCTGACTGTCGGAAACTCAGTGGCTGACAGACAGTTAACCTGCGAGAGGAGAGACACACAAAACATGATTGCTCGTTCCTTAGGAGAAGCCAGCAAGCAGGAGATTTAACCTAGGGGTAGACTGAGGTGTTCTTCCTCATTTCTGCACCTGTCTTTTTGACAAACAGCTGAAATTGTGCTGCCCAATTTGGATGTTATGAATAAACACACCTTTGTTCTACCTTAACCTGGCTGGTGTTGTGCGCGATTTTAAGATAACCGGGTAACAAGTGGCATAGCCAATGTACCAAACGGGGCCTAGGGCTGCTGCGTGCCTTTCAGGTTAGCTGCCGGCAATAGCTGGGTCTCCTGTTGGAGCTGAACAGGCCGGCTGTGCCGCAGGCAGGCAGGGCAGAGCGGCCTCCCCATGCCGGAATCAAAGCTCTCTAACAAAGCACAGCAAACCTTGAACCCCGGTGGCGCAGGGGTCCTGTCATTATTTTAGTCAATGGGATTGTGGATAAGATTCCAAGAGTGCTGCAAGTGACAAGTGTTTTCTTTCTCTTGTGGTTTTAAATATTTAATGTACACTTGTTTCTTCATGTTGAAGTTGATGGGAAGTTTAGTAAACATTAACCACTTCCTAATAACAAAACATTTCACCGAAGCAACCCAAACTGATTGCTTTTGTGAAATAAAACAGATGTTTTAAGTTGCCTATTTCTAAAGTGGGAGTTGATTTTGAAATAAGAGAAACCCTCTTTTCTTACACCAGAAAAAAGTAGAAAATGCTACCAGAACAACTTCTGAAACGCTGGGGTGAAGCCTTTAAACCATTTCAAATGAAGTCTGAATCCCAATGGACACAATTTAACTCCAGGAGAGGTCATCGGCCTGATCTATTGTCCTACATTATAAAGATCAAATCAAGTAAGTATGGCGGTTCTCAACTGGCCTTTAAAAACCAAGCATTTTCAGTTTCTCTGGGATAAGTTTATTAAATAAAGCATTAATTTATTAAATGGTCTGACTTTCAGATACTGAAATCAGTATCCTCAGAATGTATATTAAAGTGTAAAAATATTTAAGTGTATTAAAATATAAAGAAAATCAGGAAGGGAGTTAAGTTCTGAGCACCTTTCAGAGATGAACCTGTAATTCAGATGCCTAAGCATGGCTAAAGATTGTAAGTTAAACATGTTAGTAAGTGCACAAGCAGATTTATTTGCTGTAGGAGCAGATAATACATAATTCGGGCTGGAGAAAAGACAGGAGAAAACACAAGAAAATCACTTTGTAGTACCAATATAAATTCGCCTGTAGTACAGTTAAGAAATGTAATTTTTCCGTATTTTAAATTGATTTTAAAAAGGAGAAGAGTATAAACTATTACAGTTCTGTTGAAGGAAAGGTGTGGAAGGAGTAAGATAGAGAGCTGCACCATCAGAGCAAGACACAGAGTTCTAAAACCAGAACTTTTCCACTTCTGTCTCTCCCTGCTGCATTAGCCAATAAGTAAATAATAATTGGGGGAAAAAAAAAAGAGGGTGACTTAGCCGCAATGACAAAAACATCTGCCTAATCTCTTCTGTAAGCTCACGCAAACACGCATACCCTAGAAATGAATGAGTAAAGCTGTGTGCAATCTCTTGTTGCATGGGTGGTGAAAAGGAAACCTTTCTCTTACAAATACCTTTAATTATTTATTTAGAAATAACCCTTTACCTATCCCGCGCAGGCTTTTTTTTTTTTTTTTTTAAATGAGAATTTCACTGAAAGCACTTCATTCATACTTCTTAGAAAACAAAACCGTTCTTGCGGAGCCTGAACTGATGTCAAACAGGGCAATGCATTAGCTGAAATATTACTCGTTTGAAATACAAACACACCGAGCGGTGGTATTCGCAGCGAGAGGCTGTTCTCTTTTATCCGCAGGGACAACAGCTTTCTGTTTGTCCAGACAACACCTGCAGACTGGAAGCCAAAGCACTGAAATCTCTATGCAGTGAGCATGACTTCCTCACCCGGTGAGACGGTCGGTCGATGCCAGCACTACCAGGGAACAAAACTCTCCAAGTAGCCTCTATCAGTGAGAGCTGCTCCTGCAGAGCCCTGCTTTTTCTTTCAAAAGGGAGGCTCTGGAGAGAGTCATTCCCTTTAGGAACCCGATCTTTCTCCAGCACGCTTGCCATCACTGAGCAATGCTTACCTGTGCTTTGCATGCTTATTCTGTCTCTCAGGAGTGCATCACCAAGTATTTGTCGATAAAATATCAAGAGATGGATGTAGCACATACTGCCAATTAACGTTTCTGGTAGCAAACTATTGGGAAAATAAAGAACGTGCAGTTGAGATTTTTGTTCAGAACTGCTCCTACGAAGCATTGTTCACCAAAACTTGAGCGCAATCAGTTTCACAGAGATTATTATTAGCTGATATTGGCATCTCCCTGACTCTGCCACAACTTTTGAAGGTGCACATTGAGACAGCTGTAACAGCCAGACTCTTGCTGTTGCAGCTTTCAATCTTATCTAAACTTAAAGACTTTTTGTTTGTTTTCAACAAAATAGCTCTCAGTGTCAAAGAGAGATCGAGTGCAATATGCAGGTGACGCGACCCTCGGATTTTTCCACAGCCAGTGTTCCAGGGAAGGGGGACGCTTTAGATCTCTGGAACCATTCTAGGCTATCTGAAATATTTGTTCATTTTATGGCAGCAGACGCAAATACTTACTTCAGGATGTCTTTTGATTGCGTGCTTAATGACCTCAGTTTCACTATAAGCACAGGCTGTTTCTTCAGTGTTATAAACTGATGAAAAACACCACTGCCTGCTAAAGAAATAAATACCTGATACAATAATCGGTCATTTTGAAAGAACTTTAAGAACTATATTACAAGAACGGACATTTAAATTTGGCAAGAGATGTTTTGCTAAAACTGTAATGGTTTAAAGATGGGCTAAAATCCAGGAGGAACTGACTGTCTGGAAAACATATCAACATTTGGTCTAACGTACGCTATTGCCTCTCTCTAGGACGGTGGATTCATAACATGCGCAGAGTAACACGGAGGAGGTGTCCGAACCCAAAAGGTAAAGGCCTTCTATAGCTTGCAGCACGCATCACTGGCACATGGGCATTATTACAGCTTCCAGGGGAAAGCCGCGGCTGCCCTTACTTAAAACACAAGTGGTCTATCATCTGAACCCACTCTCAGTGAAGCTTTATTCAGCCCTGCAGGGAAGAACCAATACCGATGTTCTGTAGCATATTTATGCCCAAGTGGAACTTGTGCACAAGTGATATGGGACTGATGATACGTGACTTGAACAGCCTGGCTTGGGAACTCTCCAGACCAGTGTCACTGCTGAGCCTTGTACCATCGCCCCATAGCCAAGAAGTGTTACGTGCCATTAAAGAAATAACTGAATGTATTTATCAGAAATAACCCTCAACCTGCAGCCACGGGAAGTGACAGAAACATTAGCACTGGCAGATAGTTCTGATTCCCGCCAGCCCTAACAATCAACTCTCTCTTGTGCAAAATGAGAACACACAAAAGAAAACCAGGCTGTGGTGACTGCACGCTAATGAGAGCCCCGGCTGAGCACTGCACATTGTAAACTCAGTACAGCATTTGTTGTATCATTTCGTTTATACAATGTTTAGGAGAAATCACACCTCTTCTCGATATTGATGGGTCAACCTCAACGCCTCTCTCGTAGGGAGTGCCGCCATTTAATAGCAGCTCATACATCCTGTGAACAAGAGCAGTACAGTCAAAATAAAAAGATGTAAGGATACGTGTTCTCACAAC